TGCTACCCAGTGGAAAAAGAAGTTAAGAGTTATTAGAAAATATCAGGCATGGAAATTGGGATTGATTTAAGGTTGCCATAATTATCTAAATGCAGTTTTCCTGATGAAGTGTTTTCATACAAATGGAAGAAAGTTCACCTCTAGTTAACTTTGTGTGACTACAGCTTAATGTAAGACTTGCATTAAAAAAAAAATCAAGTATGTGTTCTTTTTGTGAAATAGCAAATTAATGCTCTGAGAAAGAATTAATCAGTATGTCATTGCATATGCATTTATTTATAAGGTGGTCATTGTTTACACCCTAAAGAAAGTCATGCCATTTTGAAATACCTTTAGTTAGGCCCTGTTGGATGGAGGGCTGTGGTTGCCTCACCCAGAGGACTGGGCCTGGTGATCAAGGAGTCATTGGAAGGTGGGTTTCTCACACTGTGGCCTTTAATACTGTTCTCTCTTCTCCAGCTCTGGGCAGAGGTAACCAGCAACATTCTTAGCCCCTGGAGTATGTTTAGCAAGCCCCAAGCTAGGTAAGAGGAGAGAAGGAGAAAAGGAAAAGTGTGGGATGAAGGAGAGTAGAAGAAGGGAAGAGAGAAAGAGAAGATGGGAGAGAGAGGAGGAGAGAAAAGAAAGCTCTCAGTGCTGCAGAAAAATAGCATGGTACCAACAGTTGCAAGAGGTCCACCAGCTGCTTTTCCTGACCTGGTTCATTCCACCTCAGCATGCAGCCTCACTGGAGTGACTAAAGGAGCAATTCCAAAAGTTCTCTCAGATACTTCTACAATATAACAATGATAATACCAGCACATTCTTCCTGCTGTTTAACAAGTCCCTTGGGCTATGGTTTAAGCCACCATTTAGACACCCATGGTAGAGTTGGAGAACACCTAGTTGCCATTTTCTTTTTGTGCATGCCTTGTAAACATAGTGGACATTGTTCATAAGCCATCACGACCTCCATCTGGAATGCAATATGGATTTTTCCTGGCTTGTTCACAGACTAGATTTTTAATACATTTCATCAGGTTTCTGCTTCATATCTCCACGGTCCCTTCTGGCCAGTCTCTGCTTTTCTCTTTATGCTTCAGAAACATCAAACTGATTCTGAGTCATGCCCACTCCATGCCAGTCTTTCGCTCTGTGTCTTGGTTTAGGCCATTTCCTTTCTTTGGAATGCTCTTGCCCATGTCTTCACATAAAAGGAAGTGCACATCCTTTAGGAGGTGGCATGACTGTTACCTCCTTGGGGAAACTTTCGTGGATCCATTTCCCTACACCAGTTTAGGTGACAACCTCAGGGATCTCGTTATACCTGTGACAGAGCCCACAACTGACCCTTCCAGAGAGCCTGGCATTCTGGATTCAGGCTTTCATGGTCCTCTTGCCCAAGTGCCCTTGTGCAGGGTGCAACCTGTACAACCATACAGGGTGGCCGTTTTTTAGCACATAGTAGGCATTCAGTAAATGTTTCTTGAATGAATTATCTTTAATTTTCCAGGGCCGTAATTTAACTCATCTTTAATGGTGGCATCCAGAACTGAACAAACCAGTCTGTGCAGGTAAAGGTGCTACTAGGCAGGGTCTCATCAGTAATAGGGTCACCACAGGTTCTAGAGCCACTCTTGTTTGTGCCTCGATGGCCTAACTACCACTTTACCGCCAAGAACGTGCGTATCTCCAGCTATCTCCTGTATATGCCCACGTGCCTAATCTTCACCATCATCTCCATCTGTGCAATTTGCTTTTCCTACTAGTGTGGAGCAGCTTCTGTTTGCTTATTTCTACTCCCGTTCCCAATTTCTCAAGGCCTCTTTGTCTTCTGGCCCTTTTTTTTCCATGGTGGTGGTGTCATTGCCAGGAACTGGAAGCCACTCCGCCCCTCAGTCTGGACCATTAATTAATCATTAGGTTCTAAATGAAGTGTGGAGCCCTCCAGGATGCTGCATGTCACTGGGTTTGTTTTTTGTTTTTGTTTGATCCTAGGACCAGCATCACATTATCCTGAGGCAATGGGACAACTGCCGGGGGCTGCTGTTACCTGCACATTTGGCCGGTTGTTTTGTTCATTATCCCCAGGATGTGTGGGCCCTATGGCTGACACCCAGAGCCTCTAAGCAGCCTATAAACACAGGAGTTCTGATTCTTGGAGGCAGCCTGAGAGCTTCCTCTGCACTAGAGAGGGTTCTAAGTATATACAGAGATAATTTCCTTCCTGTCCAAACCACTTGTACAGTCTGCTTGCCCTATTTTTTTTTTCTGGTCACGATGGTACTGCCCTGGGTTTTAGCCAGGTTGGTAAATAGAGGAAGTTGGATACATTTCCAGCCTCCCTGATGTCATGGTTTGGGGCAGTCAGCAAGTGTGGGAGGTTTCAGTTAATCCTAGCAATTGGTGAGTTTGCTGCTCTTCTCTGAGAAGCTTCTCTGTTCCGTGCCATGTCTTACGTAAGTCAATATGGTTCCTTTTGTGACTTGCCCTTTTCTTTCAATGATGTAAGAAGCCCAAACATTGGCAGTCACTATGTTTTGTTAATGGAGTGCCAGTGCTGATTGGATCCTGATTCCTGTTTAGTTTCTCCAGGAGATATAGGATGGTGGGTGTGTGTTGGTGACTTGTGGCAAGGAGGCATCTGGAGGCTGAAGGATGTGCAGTTCTTTAATTAACTTTAGGATTTGTGTTCATCAGATATTTTCACTTCATTGCTTTTGACATTCTTTTCCACAACTTGCTCAAATGGGCTCGTGCTCCCAGCTGAGAAGCTGGTTTCTTGGCTCTAAGGCCAGAAATCTTTGGGCTTTCAATGAGGCTTTTCTAACTGGGTTAGAGTAGGGCTGGGGAGATGACATCCACCTGAGCAAGTGATGGCATTACCTCACAGTTACACCCCACCCCCAGCTCGATTTCCGAGCTCTGTTTGGAGAACCTGGATGAGTTGGCCCTCCCTCTGTTCTGCTTTTCTTTGCTAGAAGAAATATATTGATTTGTATAAGTGATACATGAATACATGTTTGTGTTCTATGGAGTAAAAATTGGGATTCGTTCTTTCCCATCATAATTCTATCTGAGGAGGCTTGATGGGTTTCCTTCAAGGCGTTTTGTATGCATTCACACTTGTCACTATAGAAATAAGCATGCAGATATATAGTTTTGCTTGTTTCTTAATATATCCTAGTATATATGTTATTAAGAAACTTGATTTTTTTAACCTGACTTGTATGTATTGACAATCTCTATATGTCAATACATATAGATCAACTTCATTTTTTAAAGCATTGCATAAGATTCCATAATATGGCTAGACCATCATTTATTTAACTATTCATCTATTAATGGATTCTTAGGCTTTCTTCACACACACACACACACACACACAGTTGCAATGGCAGTGTTTGTATATTTTTGTGTATGTGTGTCAATATTTCTGTAAGGACAATCTCTGGAATTATAATTCTGGATCAAAAGGTATGAATATTTAAAATTTAAAAACATAGCTAAACTATTCTCTCAAAGTTTACGTTTCTATGAACAGTGTATGCAAATGTTCATTTCCCCACATGTCCTCCAGCTTTGGATATTATTAGGCTGTTTAATTTTTTTATCCAGTGGGCAAAGCATTTCACTGTTGCTTGTCCTGTTTTTCTACCTGAAAGTGTTCCAAAGGAGCATGTTGTTTATTAATAAAATGAATTACTGGGAACCATTAAGTGTGCTTTTTGTCTGTGGTTATCAATAAGGTTTTTGGAGAGGCAATGTGCTTGAGTTGTGAAATTTCATCAAAAATCCCTATGTAGAAAATCCTTATTTACACAAATGTGAAGTGAAATTATTTCCGTACTTAAGTCACAATTGATTTCTTTGTTTGATTATTTTAATGTTTTTCAGTTGGTAATCCTACATTCATTCCACGTGGAGCATTGGGACATGTGTTTGTAATTTGCTCATCCTAGGACTGGACAAAGTGCTTGGCCTTCATTTTTGTCTTCTTTAACCTTGTTTAATGACGTTTTTCTGACATATTAGGCTTTAATTTATTAAGAACGACTCCTTTTTTTTTTCTCTTAAAGAACGCATTGTGATCAATAGAAACTTACCATGACTCCTTCTTTCTTCTTTGAATTCATATTCTGGTTCCTCCTTGAGCACTGAACCTCTGTCTTAACAGTCTATTGACTGAAGCCAGGTCAGATGGTTCCAAGATCATCCCATGGATTGTTTCTTCTTGCAAATCTTATTTTGAAAATCATTATATCTGTGTTTCATATGAGAGGATACCACTGTGTGAAGTGACTCTCGTTTTTGAGCTAATATCTGTACCAATGTTTTGATTTTGAAGTAAAGCATGATGGAATATTCTGAAAAATACCAGTCATGTTGTCAACAATGCTCTCTGCCTTGGGTGGGCACACCACTTCCTTTCCCGAATGTGCATCTGTCTTGTCCCTCATTCTTGTCAATGCCAGTGTCCCTGCCTCCCCTTTCAACTCTGAGTGAAACTTAACAATCAATAGAGAGTTAATTATTTAGCCCATCAATGGAGAAAGAATTCTGCCTCTGGCTTTGGAAGCACAAGAGACATAAATGACCCAATCCTTAAAATCAAGGCATTTAGGTTCTAGGGAAGTTGAGTCACAAAAACATGAACAAATATTTAACAAAGCATGGTTGCTATAAGGGACCACCCCTCCCCAGATCCAATCACTTCATTGTCCAGTGTCCCTACGATGCTGTTAATAAAGCCTGTGACTGAGCAGTAAAATGCTACTAAAACATTAACAAGATCAGTCCCGAAACTGACTTTGACTTGTTTTCTATTTATAATATGTTCCTTAAGAACAGGGCTTGTATCCTCCATTTCTTTTGTAACATTGCTGCCAAGTTCAAGCCTTGGTATATAGCAGGGGATCTGTAGAGCCTCTGCCTGATGGGCTGACTAGTATTGAAGCCTTATGGTGCCAAGAAGGTCCACTTTCCACTGATCTAGTTGTCTTTTCTTTTGTCATTTTTAGATTTGTGCAGAGTTTCTGCGTCTTTTCTTCTGAACTTCCTGTCAGGTGAGTGAAGCTATTTCTAAGTGATAATGTAGAAATAATGAATGTTTTGTTGGTTTTTTTTTCTTTCAAATTACCCCCTTCATTCCAAATCCCCATTCCCTTAACTGCTGTATTCTTTTTTGTTTGTTTTGTCTAACTCTTTACTTCCACCCATTTGGACCCTTCTCTTCTTCAAACGTTTTCTTTTCATTGGGCATTCTATTGTTGACCCACTTCTTCTCTGGAATCCAGTTGTTTCTGAATAACTTTCAGTAATTGGTATAGATTTTGACATGACATGGTGCAGTAAAATCTGGAGAAGGGGAGTGATCATTTACATAGAACTCTGGGATTTTGTTTCTCTATTTCCCCTTTCCTTCTCTCTGGACTGGCTTCCTTATCCTCCAACAGCTCTTCTCCTATTTTGAAATGGATCATTGAAGTGCGCTCTCTCTCACCTAAAGTGCTGTGCAAATGCAGCTTTCAAAGACTCCTCCCAACCAGCTTTCTGCTCCCAACTCCCTTCTACATGGAAATTCTGAAGCCACTACTGACCTTTACTTCCTGTTTCCTTTGAGACTCATAAATAGTGGTTATTTCTGGGACTTCACTGGTATAAATAATCGAAATCTTATAACCAATGCAAATATTTATAATTATTATAAACTATAATTGCCCTACTATAATTTAGATGACAAAAACACAGTTATTATTATAATAAATGCTAATAAGTTATTGTTATAAACAAGGTTAAAATACTTGAGCAGGGTCTCACAGCTAGTAAGTGGCCAAGGTGGGACTTGAAGCAGGAATTGGCATGGTGGGATGACAAAAACAAGAAAGAGCACAGAATACTGGTGGGTGGTTCGCTTTCCTTAGTACCTCACTTCCTCTCAAATGTGAACTCCTGATGATACAAACCATATCCTTCTGCCCCATCCCCTTGAAGATGGGGCAGGGATGGGACAAGTCAACACCTTGAAGATGCTTTTAAGGAGAGTCTCCTATTTGTCTTCTCTACATATTGATAGAATTATTGTGCAGCAACAGATTCTGGACCAAGTCAACTTAAAAATCTTTTCTGAGTGCCTGCTGTGGGTGGAGTTGGATGCTGTGAGAGCTGGGGTGAGGGGACTAAGTCTATATAAAAGAGGAGATTGTGTCCTGATGCCTTGTTTTGTTTTGGGGCCAAGTTGAGTCTCATAGCCCGTGAAGACAAAGTATCTTTTAAGTAAAAAAAAAAATCACTATTTATTTGGCCACACTAATGACCAATGAATCTAAGTAGTGGCTGTAAGCTGTTAAGGGCAGGAAAGGTGTATGTCTTGTTTATTGTATCTTGAGTCTGTAGCATAGTACCTTGCATGCAATAGAACCTCAATAAATATTTGAAAACTAGATGAATGAATGCAGAAAATAATTCCAAAATTTACATTTAGCACTGGAGTCTACTATAAACTTGTCTTCTAAGTATGCTTGTAATAATAGCTAACACTTCTTGACGATACTAAGACCTTCATTATATATTAGCTCATTTCATCCCTACAGGAACACTGTGAGGTAGACCCAATCATTACCTCCATTTTTTCAGGTGAAGATTTTAAGTCCAGAGAGGTTAAGGAACAGGCCAAGGTTACACTATAAAAGGTGGAGCTTGGATTTGAAAGCAGACAGATGCTCTACCATGCGTGCTCTTGTACCCTATGCTATTCTGCTTGTTTGTGTTGTTGAACATATTTTTTAAACACTTTTGTTGAACATATTTACTGTGAATATTGGGGTTGGATCCTGAAGACTGAGGGGAGACAGATAACTATCATTTTGCTTTGGGTAATTCACACATGGGTTCTCAAGCGGATGGTAGATTGCAGGTAGGACAATGGAGAAACTTGGAGATGAGTGAGGGAGTCAAAATATAACACCTTTCACCAGGTTTTATGAGTATTTCTTTACTTTAAGTGCATGATTTCTTTCTAATCTTGCACATTTGATATCGATTCACTTGTTTTACTGAATAAAGCTTCTTTTTCTGCATTAGAAAGCACTTAATGCTTATTAAGAAAATCATGTTGTACTGTAAAGACCAAACAAATCATTTTCCTTCCATTTGCTTCTAGAGACGTGAAAGTTTCATATTGCAATCATGCTGTCTAGTTCACCATTGACTCTACTTTGTGCTATGACAAATGACACAGAGTTGCCATTTGGGAGCTCATATTCAGCACTCACCAGTTAACCCAGTTTCTGTCATCTTTAGGACACTTTTTTTTTGGCATATGGGATGCTGTTTCTCTTACTACAGCATTGCTGGCTTTAGTTGTTGGTGACTTTATCCTCAAAAAATTTTGTTGCTGAAATACGGAATGGTTCCTTTTGTCCTATATTTATTTAAATTACTCCAATTTACAAGATTCGAAATTGCTGCTAGACAATTTTGTGAGCATTCCAGAGAATTCTGTAAATAGTCTCATTTTGATTTATAAAATGGGTAAAAATGTGAGGACTTTCCTTGTCAGGGCTTGGCACCAGGGTTATGCTAGCCTGATAAACATGAGTTAGGCTATGCTCTCTTTCTCTATTCTTTGAGTTCTTGTTATATTGGAATTCTTGTTCTTTAAGTATCTGATAGAATCACCAGTGAAAATTTCTGGGCCTGGTGTTTTCTTTGTGGGGAAAATTTTGAGACTTTCAATGGTTATACATCTGTTCAGGTTTATTATTATTATTGATTCCTTTGTGGTAAGTTATATTTTTTCTAAGAATTTGCCCATTTCTATCCAGAATTTCAAATTTAATAAATAAAGTTGTCCCTAAGATCCTTTTATCTTTTTTGATTATGCCATCTTCAGTTATGTTGCTTTTTAAATTATTTCTCTTGGTTATTTGTTTATACTCTCTTTTTCTACTTCTCTTTGCCTCCTTCCTTTCTTTTCTCCTCCCCTCCTCCCTTCCTCTTAATTTTGCCAGAATTGTCTTTACAAAGAACAACTTTGGCTTTGTTAATAACTGTTGTTTTATGTCTCTTTTTTTCTATATCATTATTTCATGCTTTTATTTTTATTATTTCCTTCTCCTTCTTTGGGTTTATTTTGCTGTTGTGTTTTTTTAACTTCTTGAAAAGGAGTTTAACTTATTAATTTTAAACCATTCTTTTTCTAACATGTACATTTAAAATATAAATTTCACTCTAAAGATCTTTAGCTCTATCCCCATATCTTGATATATGGTGTTTTTATTATTGATCAAGTCAAACATTTTGTAATATACATTATAACTTCTTCATTGACCCATAAGTAATTTGTTAAATAACAATTTAACTTTCTGTTATTACAGCTTAATTGTGTTGTGGTCAGAAAACATTCTCCTTTGCTTTTTCCAAGTCTGCAAAATGTATTTGAGACTTCTTTTTGGTCTGGTTTTCATGAATATTCCATGTGCACTTCAAAAGAGTATGTACTCTGTAGTTATTGAGTAGAGGGTTTATATTTGGTCTTTAACTCAAGATGGTTAAATGGGTCATTCAAATATTCTATATCAGCGGTTCTCAACCTGTGGGTTGCGACCCCTTTGGGGGGGTCGAACGACCCTTTCACAGGTGTTGCCAGGTACTCGTATGTGGGCCTATCTGCATGTGGGCCTGGAGACGGATAGAGGAGCGGTGTCTTGGTTCCTAAGACCATCGAAAATATGTGTTTTCCAATGGTCTTAGGCAACCCCTGTGAAAGGTTGAGAACTGCTGTTCTATATCCTTAGATGACTTTCTTATTGGAATTTTACCTATTGCTGATACAGATGTGTGAATATCTCTCAATATGATTGTGAATTTGTTCTATTTCCCTTTGTATTCTGTCAAAAATACTGTTTTGTGTATTTTGAGACTATATGATTAGTTGCATTCACATGTAAATTTGTCCAGTCTTCCAATTGAATTGAACCTTTTGTGAATGAACTGTTTTATTTCTATGTAATGCCTTTTGCTTTAAAGAATAATTTGTCTGATATTAGTATAAACATTAATTTTCTTTTGCTTAGTATTGGCATTGCATATCTTTTCTGTCCTTTTATTTTCAAAAATTTTGAATCGTTATGTTCTAGTTGTGTTCCTGTAAATAGCATATAGTTGGATTTTGTATTTTTTTCAGACTTTGCCTTTTAATTCACTCATTTAGACCTTTTATATTTAATGAATCATTGATTTGTATGTGTGTTTAAATTTACCATCTTCTATTTTTCCTAACCATTCCTTGTTTCTTTTTCTTCCCTTTCTTGCCTTCCTTTAGATTGACTGAATATTCTAAAAATCATTCCCTCTGCCCTACTAGTTAGGAAGTTATATGCTTCACTTCCATTTTTTAGTAATTATTATAGAAATTACACTGTTTACTGAACTTTTTAATGTCTGAAGATAATCAATACCTTTAGCGTCCTCTATGATAATACAAGGACCTTGGAAGACTTTAATTTTTTAATTTTATTTTTTCATTTCCTAATTGATATATAGTTATTATATTATAATGTATATGTATATGGAATATAGTTGTCATTTTTTTATTCTATCACATTTCACTTATCCTTGCAAGATGTTATTATTGTTTTATATAGTCAGTTCATTTGGATTTACCAATATATATTTAGCACCCTTAGCTCTGGACAACTGGGGCCAATACTTAGGACTCAATATAAATATCTCAAAGGCATAAAGTTTTCTAGAAGACTTAGGGATCAATTATCATACCTCTTGTTACTCAAGTAAAAAATATTGATTATCAGGGCTGGCCGAGTGGCTCAGTTGGTTAAGAGCTCGCTCAAGAGTATGAGCTCTAATGGAGTCGATGGAATTGTAATAGATAAGTATGATATCGGGGATGGGAGGGCAGTAGATGGGGGAGGAGGGTTGTTTCTGTGTGAGGGGTGAAAAGGATAACTATTGCATTGTTCTGTACACCTGAAACTAACAATAAAAAAATTTTTTTTAAGTGCAAGCTCTGAGCAACAGGGTCGCCGGTTCGATTCCCAGCCTGAGCTGAGCTGCCGCTGAGCTGCCAACAGGTGGCATGATGGCTCAGCCAAAAAAAATGATTATTTCATATGTCATACCAGCCATGGTATAATCAAATGTTGCCAGTTAACCAGAGATAACGAAGACTAACCCTCACCCGGACCTGTTCTACAGTGGCATCAAGCTGTTTCCCCTTTTTAATCCTACTCTTTAATTACTCTATTTTTAGATAAAGATAGATTTATCATTTATTGCCATTCAAGGTTGCACTGATGATATAGATTTTTAAAAATATGAGTGATACTATTTAATGAAATTGATGTAGAACAATTTCTGGGAGTAGTACAAGCAGGGCCATGGCATACCATCATGTAGCTGTTGCACTGCACGACCCTAAGGGTTGCCATTTACATCAGAGTCCACAACCATAAAAGGACCCTGATGAATCTGGGATAATCTTTCATGAGAGGTTGTCTAGTGTCAAGGTCTAGATTTGACTCTTTAAATGCTAGCAAATAGTTTTCTCTGTAACTGATATTATTTCACCAGCCAGCTTAGCACCTTGAAAATTTGCTAAGAACCAGTGGCTATTTAAATTATCTTTATTGATGACCTAGAGAGCATTGAGCTGACCCAACTTGCACTAGACAATGGAGAAAAGTTCCAGATGAAAAAGATAAAAATGTGTTTTATGTATAATAAGTAAGGGTTTCAAAATCCACAGATTTCCCTCTTTGATCAAAAATCCTAAAGACCTTATGAACTAACAGGATGTTGTCTAGCTTATGCCAAAAACAGGAACTATATTATTTAAAATACCATCAAACTTCTCCTATTAGGAAATATATAGTCAGCCTTGAGGAAACGTATTCCAGGCTTAACAACTGAAGGCAGCAGTCTTTTCAGTGATGACTGGTCTGTACTAAGTTCTTCTTGATCCATATTCTCTTTTCAGAATGATTGCTGGAATCACCCTTCATTCTGGGCCTTCCTGCCCTCACTTGGGAGTTGAGTACAAGCTCTGTTCAGTGGAAGGCATGGTTTATTTTGATCAGGGCTCATAAGAACTAGTCACTGTGTACCATGACTAATTTAACTGACCATACCTTATATACCACTTAGGTTCTACCCTAGGAGTTGGTAAAACTCAAGAATGAATTTGCAGAAATTTTGAAATTGTATAGTAGCATTTTGAATTTGTTGATTTGTTTTTCACCTGATGGACTCAAAACAGTTTACTTTCACGCACTGTGGCCTAGTAGAAAGGTTAGGAGTCCCACCAAACAGTTACTAAATGACCTTGACCCACCCCCTAGAGCATGTTGGGCCTCATTCTTCATCTTTAGAATGAGGATTTGAGGCTAGGTGAATTCTGAGTTCCTTTCCAGAAGTAAACTGCTCTGATACTCTTTCCAGAACTAAAATTAGATACTTATGCAGTAAATCTTCTAAGTCATTTGTATAGGAGAGAGTTTTTTTGTAGAGGTTTAGTTCACTAAATAGAGCTTTTTATTTTTAAAAAAAAGGAGCAATACTTTTGGAGGGGAAGTGAGAAAATTTATTTTATTTTATTTTTTATTTTTCAGAAATAAAATATAGATTAATTTTTAAACTTTTACATGAAACCTTTTATGACATATTAATACATGTAAGTGTACAGTTCAGTGAATTTCGGGGGCTGAACACACCCATGTAACCAGCACACAGAATATTACCTCAGAAGCCCCCTTGCGCCCACTCCTAAATATTACACCCTCTCCCCCCTTCCAAGGCTAACCACTCTCCTGATTTCTTACTCCATCAATTCGTTTGGTCTGCTTTTGTTCTCATATGAATGGAACCACGTACAATATGCATTCTTTTATGTCTGGCTCCTTTATCTAACATTATATTTCTGAGATTCATCAATATTGTGTGTAGCTGTAGCAGACACTTATATTTTCCTCCAGAGAAATATCGCTCCATTTTTGCACAACTATATTAGCATTCTCCTTTGAATGACTCATTTGGGAGGCTCAATAATATGCCATTATGAACAGAGAGAGGATAAAAGTGCTGAAGAGGAGGGACCAACCAGAGGCAGTTTACAATCTATTAAATGTCGTGTATTGTTAACAAATAATACAATTTATTGATTTTAAAAATGTAAGCCCTTTTTGAAAGGAGGATTCACCTGCTGGTCTGAGACCAGGAAAGAATCACCCCCCTGGTACTGGTGATGGCTATTAAATTACAGGATTCTTAAAGATTGTCAGTTTTTCCTCGAGACTGAGAAATGTGACTTACCCCCATCTTTCCATGCCCTCATCCCCATTAGCCTGGAATCTCTGCACTATCTGACCCTGCACATACTAGGTACAAAATAGATGTTATTTGACTGAACAAGTGAAGAGTACAGCTAGTATTTATAGTGCCTTCATGGTACCAGCCACTGTACGAATATTTCTTGTTTAATCAACACAGAAATATTATCAGTTGGTGCTTTTATCACAATTTGCTAGATGGGGAATCCTGGCCATTGGGCATAACCTGTCCCAAGTCATTCAGACATTGTGTGGCCAGGACCTATGAACTCATCTCCAGTCTTTGCCACTGTGCATGCGCACTCTATCTCAGGTTGGCAGAGGCTGCAGTGGTGGCTGGGTTCATGGGTGCCCTGTGGCGAGGAGCTCTGCCAGCTGAGAACACACAGCCTGGTCTATCCCTGCCTTTTCCCCTGTGGCCATAAAGAAGGAGCCTGCTCTTAGGGCTCTCATTGTCCCCCTGCTTGTGCCTGACACCTTGGGTAGGTTGTGATTTTCTGGCTGGTTCCTTTCTCTCTCAGCATCCCACACCAGCCTCTGCTGCTGGTGCTGACTACCCGTCGCGGGGTTCTGTTGGCCAACTCTTTCACCATGAGAGGAATAGATACATTCTTAGCATTTGCAATTCTAATTCCGTCTGTGTGCCAAGCTCCCCCAAGCCCCTGTCCCACCTTCACCATGTGTATCTCATCTAGTTAACTCTTGTTCAGCCCTCACATTTCATCTGGTGTATGTTGATCCTCAATAAATATTTGTTGAATGAATGAATGGCAAATGAGACTTTTAAGTTCAATTCTGATATAAACTTTGCTTTTTAGAAAATGTTGAATCTGCCCTCCTGACTACTAAAAATACAAGCAATGATAATGAACTAATATTGAGGAAAAGCGATGTAACCATCCTTTTACACCATTAGACATAAGTACGAGTAGATTATTTATATGATTCTGTGACTCCTTTTGATTCTTAGAGTAGTTTTTAACTAGCCTTTATATAGTGGTAACATTTATATATGCAGTGTTTTGTGCTTTTTATTTCTTCTTGATATTTTGCATGTGTTGATGTTTTCCATAAATCCACATGGACTACCTTGCTTGTCATTTTTAATATAACGAAATATCCCATGGGGTGGTCCTCCCAGAATAAACATGTGTTTGGCTTTTTGTAGTCAGTGCCCACCTGGCATTGCCAATTCTCTGGAACTAGAGTAATTTAAAGGAAGCAGGATTGCAGTTTGCCTTGGTCAAGGAACTGACCTTTTGGGTATGATTCTGGCAAGCCATGATAATATGTTTTTCCGTTATTTTACTCCAGGATGTTTTTCTCTGGTGGGCATTGTGGCCATGTTGGCAGACCTGAAGAACTTTTACTGATGTTCAAGATATTACTTGTCATTTGTCTTCATGTAATTCTGGTGACATCCCTGGAAGGTAAGGTACCTGTTTTCCTTCAGTTTTTTTCTGTTTTGTCTGTGTGTATTTATTTAGGAATTATTTTTTTACTGTGGTAAAATTAACAACATAAAACTTACCATTTTAAGTATTTCTAAGTGTACAATTCACCAGCATTAAATATATTCACAATTTTGTGCAACCACCACCACTGATCATTTCCAGAACCTTTTCATCATCTCAAATAGAAATTCTGTACCCATTAAACAATAACTCCCATCCCACCATTTCCTGTTAACCTCTATTCCTTCTGTCGCTATAAATTTGCCATTCTAGGTACCTCCTATAAGTGGAATCATACAATATTCTTTCTTTTGTGTCTAACTTATTTCACTTAGCATAATGTTTCTGAGGTTCATCCATGTTGCGTGTATCAGAATTTCATTCCTTTTTAAGGCTGAATAATACTCCACATTTTGTTTATCCATTCATTGTTGATGGACATTTGGGTTGTTTCCACCATTTGGGTACTGTAAATAATGCTATGATCATTGGTGTACAAGTATCTGTTTGAGTCCCTGCTTTCAATTCTTCTGGGTTTATATACATAGGAGTGGAATTGTTGGGTCATATAGTAGTTCTGCTTCACTTTTTGAGAATCTGACAAACTGTTTTCCACAGTGGCTGCACCATTTGACATTCCTACCAGCAAAGCACAAGGATTCCAGTTGCTCTATATCCTCACCGACATTTGTTATTTTCTGTTGTTTTGATAATGGGTGTGAAATGGTATCTCATTGTGGCTTTGCCTTGCATTTCCTTAATGATTAGTGATGTTATGCTTATTAGCCATTTGTACATCTTCTTTGGAGAAATGTCTATTCAAGTGTTTGGCCCATTTTTTAATTGGATTGTTTGGGGTTTTTGTTGCTGAGCTATAGGAGTTTGTTATATACTCCGGATATTAATCCTTTATCAGATAATATGATTTGCAAATATTTTTCTCCCATTCTTTAGGTTGTCTTTTCACTCTTTTAATAGTGTCCTTTGGTGCACGAAAGTTTTTAATTTTGATGAATCCCAATTTATCTATGTTTACTTTGTTGCCTACTTTTGCTGTCATATCTAAGAAATCATTGCCAAATCCAATGTCATGAAGAATTAACCCCTATGCTTTCTTCTGAGAGTTTTATAGTTTTAGCTCTGATGTTTAGGTCCTTTGATCTATTTTGAATTCATTTTTGTATATGGTGTAAGGTAAGGGTCCAACTTCATTCTTCTGCATGTGGATATCCAGCTTTCCCAGCACCATTTGTTGAAAAGACGCTCCTTTCCCCATTGAGTGGTCTTGGCACCTTTGTCAAAAATCAATTGACCATATATGTGAGGGCTTATTTCTGGTGTTTATTTGTTTTTAAAAGTATCTACTTGAAGACACTTCTGAATGGAAATTTTAGGGAGGTAGAGAATCAGCCAAATAAAGCTGCATGGTTTTCAGAAAAGAAGATCTTTAAAATTTTTAAAGCTTATGAAACAAGGAGAAAAGGTATCGATTCCATTCCCACTCTCTACTGGAATCAATGGAATTGTAATAGATAAGCATGATTATCGGGGGTGGGAGGGCAGCACATGGGGAGAGGGGGGGTTGTTACTTTGTGAGGGTGAAAAGGATAACTATTGCATTGTTCTGTACACCTGAAACTAACAATAAAAAGAATTTTTTAAAAGAAAAGAAAAGGTATCTCAGGAAGGCAGTAAAAAAGCTAGAAATCCTGGGGCTGCAGTATCTGTGGGTGCAACTGACAAAAGAATACAGGGCTATGCAAATGTAAAGAATCCTCATTAGGAATGTTATTTAAGAAGACATTATTAAAGACACAAAAAATATCTTTCTTATTCAGAAGAGAGTGACAAGATCAAGGAATCTTCATTGAATAAAGCAAATATCTACCAGGAGCAAACAACAACATAAACAAAAAACACACACACAATACACACTCATATACATGCATGCACACAAAATAAATGGAAAACTTCCCAACAGGTTAAAACACAATCAACAATCCTTCAAAAAGTAGGCACTGGGGCATATTGTCAAGAAGCCATGATAGTTGACCAAAAAAATTGTAAAAGCTAAATGTGTACTGATTGCTTACAATGTACCAGGTCCCTTTGTGCTTTACATACATCTACTCTCTTAAGCTTCTCAACCAAATCTATGAAGAGAAGATGCTAGTCTTAGCCCCATTTCTCAGATCAAAAAACTGAAGCTCAGAGAGATAACTTGCTCAAAGAAGTAGCTGAACTAGGATTTGTACCCAACTCTGAATTTTGTGCTAGTAACCACAAAACCAGAGTTCTCAAACTCAAGTGTGCATCATAATCACCTGGAGGGTTTGTTAAAACACAGATTTCTGGGTCCTTCTCCCAGCGTTTCTGATTTAGTAGGTCTGGGGTGGGACCTGAGAATTGACATTTCTAACAAGCTCCCAGACGATGTTGGTGTGACTGGTTCGGGGACTACACTTTGAGAACCACTGCCTACAAAACTGGCAGAAGACATAAGTGGGGAGAGAAAACTCCTCCAGATATCTATCATGGGACACAAATTCTGTTGTGGCCATGTGACATTCATGTCAACTGTGCTCACACACATCATCTCACTTTGGGATTGGCAGGGCAAAAACTGAATGTCCCCACTTAACTGATGAGTAAATGTTCCCAGGGACATAATTGGTCAGGAAGTGGTAGAGCCAGACTAGATATTAGATCGTTGGTCTCACGTTTCAGTGCTTTTTCCACCACAGTGGTAGACCAGGAAGGAAAGTGCAACACAAGGGGGGGAAATCGTCAAAGTGGAAGCTGCTTGGCAGAAATAAGTCTTTTTGTAAAAGTATATTTTAAAATGATGAAACAGGACAGGTAGACCACAAAGTGCGTGGCTCTGAAGTAAACCTGAGTAGGGAAAACCCAAGTGGGGCTTAAGGATGCTGACTGTATTTCTTGCTCTGACTCTCTGATGAACTGATTTCTGAAAGCAGTGGTTTTCAAAGTGTGGACCCACACAAGTAGCATCAGCATCATCTGGGAGCTTTTTAGAAGTGCAGATTTTCAGACCCACCTTAGACCTGCTGAATCAGAAACTCAGAATACCGGGGCCCAGCAGTCTGTTTTAATCAACCCTCCAGGGGCTACCGATTGATGTATGCCCAAAGTGTAGAACCACTGTTGTAAAGAATTGGCTAAAGCATTACTGCTGACAGTAAGATACAGTAGAAAGATGGTAAGACCTAGGGTTAGCCTTCCCCATGCCTGCCACCTGGTATTTGTATGATCTTCATTTACCACTAGAACAACATAAGCCTCTATTTCTATGTCCTCGTCTTCAAAATGGGTATAATCATGAGCCCCATGAAGGCAAAGATTTTTCTTTTTCTTTTTTTTCCTCCGGCTTTACTGACATATAATTAGCATATAGCATTGTGTATGCAAAGGTTTTTCTGAATGAAGTGTTTTGGGATCTGGAAAGGGCTAAATAGGAAGATCATTATTGTTTTTAGAACTCCCACTAAGAGCTAAGAGTATTCATGTTATTTAATAGTCACCTTAATAGCACTCACCATGTGCCAGCCTCTGTTCTGAGCCCTTATACAAGACTAACTCATTTAAAGCTCACTCAATAACGCTTTGAAGTAGGCACTATTATTAGCTCCATTTTACAGATGAGGAAATTGAGGTGCAGTGAAGGTAAGTGACTTGCCTTAGGTTCAACGTTTCAGTTGCAGAGCTACAATTCAAACTCAGGCCACCTGACTCAAAGTTTGTGTGTTTAAGTACACTATCCAGTGTTTTGTCATTCCTAGCCTCTCTGCTATGCTAGGCTCAGTCGTTTGGAGGTTGTGCATTTGTAGATTAAAAATAAAGGCGGATTCCATAATTGTGAGAACCACTGAATGTTAGATTGGATCACCCAGATGGTTCATTGGCACACTCTCCCTGAACAGCTTTGGACTGAGGTAGCTTCTCTTCAGTGCAGGATGGCTTAGGTCTGGTCTTTGATGAAGGCCAAGGGGACTGGCCTGCTGCTTCTACATTGGATAATCAGTTGTGCAGTAATGAGTACCTGCTGTGTGACCAGTGTTACTAGCTGCTGAGAGAACACCATCTCTCACTCCAGGGAATTGACACTCCAGTTGGAGGGACATGTTTATGACACATGAGAACAATACAAACTATAACAGTCCTAGAGTGTGAGGCATTGCTATAGGACTCTAACATACAGCCTCTGGCCAACTCTGTGGATTAGTCTAGTTGCTTACAAAGCCACCTGTAGCAGATGCTATTGGTGCCCCGTCTGTATCCCTTGGCCCACCTCAGAAGTCACCTGCAGAAAAATCCCATGCATACTGATGGCTCCGATGGCTCTGACTAAAAATGATCTGTGCCCATGGGTCCATGCTTGGCCTGTGCACAGAAGAAGCCAAAAGTGCCAGGGAGTGAACGCCCCAAAACAGTGAGGGATGGGAGTTGCTCTTTACCTATGCCAGCTCCCTCACCCCTTGGTGGGACAAGCTGAGGTGTGCTCCAGTTGCCCACAGTAGAAACCTGCTCATGAATATACCCATTATTGGCTTTACTCCCTTCCCTATCTTACTTCCCTTCTCCCTCCTTCTGCTTCCAGGGGCCATCCCTATTTGGAAAAACACTCATCTTCCAAGGTCCGGCCAAATATTACCTCTATAAAACCTGCCCTGACCTCTTCAGAAGAATGAAATCTCTCTCCCTAGTGCTCCTTTTTCTCTTCATCCATAGCTTTGTATACTTGTCACTTTGTATCATATCATTACCGTTCCTTTGCACTGTGAGTCCTTTCAGGGCATTGTCAGTGTCAGGTGAGAAGGGAGAATGGAGGTTTGGCAAGGCAGGTGGGAAACTAATGGGAGTAAAATTAATGAGCACTGAGGCCTGCTCTGGGCTAGGCCCTTAAAGGTGCTTTATGGACATTATCTCATTTAATCCTCACAAAAGCTCTTCATGGT